AAATTTCCATTATAATTTTATGTTACCACGAATTTTTGAAATAACACGTCAGCATAGGTTATCATTAATCCAACTCTGCATACAGGAAAAAATGAGAATTTGATGGCAAACATATCTTTCAAACTAGAGTAGAAGCAGGAAATTTAAGAACATCAACCAATTCTGAAAGTGCAAGAAGCCAGAACCACCATGGCTAACATTCAAATTCTAATCAGGTAATTACTACATTTCATTCACCTTTACATATAGAACTGCTGTCCTAAAATCAACCTCAGTAACAGGTATTTTGAAAAAAGTCTTGGTTTCATTTTCTATGGAAGCCTCTCACCATCCTTGCACTAGGGATGGTGCCACTCCAGAGTCATTTTGTCATCAGAATAGCACCGTGCAGTTCTGTTACTCTCCCAACTCTGAAACAAACTTTATTTCTGACTAAAACAAAATTTAGATTGAAGGAGTTTAAATAAACAGTACACGTCACCAGGCACCAGAGGGGATTTTCCCATTTGATAACAGAAAATCCTGCAAAAGAACACTGGCTCAAACTGAATCCTACAATTCTATATGTCTTGACAGGCTACAGCAGGTGTAACTGCCAAAAACACTAGCCTTGAATACACTTCCTCAGGCAGTCTTCAGAGGCAGGCCACAAAATGGTCTGTTGTCACCGAGCCTGCCTTGCCATCCTGTTTTTTAAGGCCATCCATGTGCAAACAGGATAAACAGCTCTGGAGACATCAGCCTGTTCATCAAAGACATTTATCCCTCACTCATCTCCCAAAGGCCCCTTAATCTTTCTAAGGCCTCATGAACCTCCTAACGACTGAAATCTGCAAAGCCAGTGGTCAAGGAGTGATGGAAATTACAGGCAACAGAAGCCTTCCCAAACCCCATGCTCACTGTTCAAGGAAAGGAAGCCACTGGGACCCAGAAGTACACTTGAATATCTGTCTGGGCTTCACATTGCTGATTTGATTTTAGCTTTACTTCCATTTAAAAGTAATTCAAAACAGCTGTACGGTTTGGAGGCCATCTTCAGCTAAGAGTAATCTCTCTCTGGCAAACATGCTCAGGGGAATAGTTACAAACTTAGCTTATCCACTACCAGTGACGAACACTCATACCCAAATAATCCCATAAACCATCACTGGGGCTATAAATAGGCTACCAGTGGCACTGCAGGATCCCCAGGGCTAGCAAGACAACAATATCTGCAGAGGATGTATTTCAGCATTTCATTGTTCATCTGCTAATTAGGAGACAAGAAGCTTCAAGTTTCACATACTATTTTAAGTGTTGCAGTAGTCTTTACTTGGATACCTTTGGGTTTTTTTATCTGCTATGTTCTCATAAAGTTCAAAAAAAGAGAACTTACTTTTTTAAGCTATTTAAGTTATACCCAGATGCAATATACAGGTCTGAATACACTAGCTGAGGATCCTGATGTCCAAATAAATATATAGGTAGAAATTACAATTATAGAATACATGTAAGTTTACTCACATGATTATAAATAAGTAAAAGCAAACAGTGAAAGAATCGCGGACACTTCATGCAAATTAAAGTTTCTATGTACATGCTATAACAAACAGAACTTGAAAGGACTTTTTAACTGTAGCCAGGCAAATCCACTTTTGGAGTGCCACAACTACAATTAATGGCTTTGGGTCAGCAGTAACTCAGAAAATGCCTTACTATCATGTACTTCTTTTAGCAGCAAAACCTAATCCCCCGCAGAATTAGTGTATTTATTACACACTGATTATGTGAAGCTTTTACAGTATAAAGCAGCCACTGCTGCAACGATCTGCAACAGCGAGAGATTTCAGACAAAAGTCACACACAACTGGAGAACGGGTTTCACTCAAGCAGTTAGTAATGCATCCTCTGTCTCCAAATACAGAAGGGACATGGAATTTGTCAGCCTCCCATTACTGGATTTAATGTAGCACTGGAATGGAACCTATTTACAGAAATGTGCTGTCAAAAGGTTACGAACAGTGCAAGATGAGATAAATCCACTGATGTTTTAAGAGCAATTCTTCAGCTTAAGGTACTGCAAAACAAAGTTGAATGAGAACACAAAATCCTATTGTTACCAAATCATCCAAATGCCACAAAATAGATAGGCTTCAAGTTGAAAAGACCCAACTTCTTAGAATACTATACTTTGTGCTTAGACAATTCATTGTCTTCGTAAAACTTGTATCCTCTCCTTTAGCCCTAGCAGTGTTTAGAAACTTAATTATCAGTATTTCTCTGCCTGTACTACTTTCTTGCCTATTATCAGCTCAAGTGTTTAAGGACTTAAAAAAAACAAACAAACTTTGCTTCATCTGGTATTAACCTTTAAAAGCTATTCTGAGAAAGTCCCTTCATCTTTAGTGAATCTTCAGTGAAGCTTTTCTTCCATTTATTTTGGACACTGTCAGAAGACTATAAATCCATATGGCAAAACAAAAAAAATGAAATATAAGAAAAATGCCACAATGATAAAATTTAAAGAAAGGATGTTTAGGCTGTTAATTCCATCCTTCTCTCTCCATGCCTCCCTCTCAGAAGGAATTCAGGGAATAAGTATAGTCTGGGTGAATTAAATAAGCAATAGAACAATGCTCTCTAGGTACAATTATAAAAGATTATACATTTTCTATGCCTTTCAATAGTGCAGTATCCATCATCATTTTTGATTAGTATCCCCAAATCACTGTATTGAATATTTTATCAAAAGAGATGCAAGTAGCACCTAGAATGTTTCCCACAATTAATTTTCATTTGAAAATGAAAAGCAGATATGTAGGAGCAGCTATATCAGAAATTGAGTTCGAAAAAGCAAAAACTAGACAGAACTGACTAGAATTTTAATCTATAAACTACAGTGATGTCACAGATGTCCAGGCTAAGAATAAAAGAGCAAAGGGTCAGGAAAGCTGAAGGTAAATCTTTAAAAGGCAAAGCTTTTAAATAAAAAATATTAGCTTAGAAAGAAACCTCACACCTACAGCCAAAGAATTGAATGAAAACTCTGGGAATGCTGTTCACTTCACTACTACAATCTTCATGAGAAACAAGCAGAGGAAACTCACCATAGGCTGTCCAGGTTCAGAAAACTTAACTTTAATATCCTGCAGATGTTTCAAGATAGGTTCATCATATTCCTAAGCAGAAAAATAGTAAAACCCTATTTAGCAGGCAATATTTGGAAGAACCTCCTCTTAGCCATCTTGTAATTATTCAGCAATTTTAACTAAAGTAAAGACCTGGATCCAAATTTCTTAAATCAGTCGCAAATACTTTGTGCCAAATTCTCAATCATTAGGCCTCTCCTTCAGTAAAAAAGGTGCCAAATGCCAGGTTGTGTGAGTATGACCAAAAATACAGTAACCATTCAGGGTATTTATTGCCAGTGAGACTCACAGAAAGACACGCTCCAGGGAATTCTGCCTTAACAGCATTAAAAACAATTAATATAACTGGGCAAAACAGTGCTTGTCCATCATTAGCCTTTCAAGCATCTTTAGGGATTCTAAAGGTTCAAATATTTGGCCTCTCATACAATCATAGAATAGATTGGGTTGGAAAAGACCTCCAAGATCATCAAGTCCAACCCCTGATCCAACTCCAATTACTATAGCATGGCACTAAGGGCCACATCCAATCTCTGCTTAAAAACCTCCAGGGATGGTGAATCCACCACCTCTCTGGGTAGGCTGTTCCAATGCTTGATTACCCTCTCTGTAAAGAATTTCTTCCTA